GTACCTGGTTCTTCAATGGATGCATTGCTTGGCGTGACACAGATCTGATCTCGGGATGCGGAACACGTACTAGAAATCACAATCAAGACTGCGCAGAATTAAATCAAAAGATTTTTTAATGTGCTTGTAATGTAGGCATCTAAGCTGCACTCACGAAATGTTTGTAAAAATGAGAGAAACATCTTCATAAAGATGAATAAAGCATGACATACCGGGTAATCCGGGACGTCTTAGTGCGTGTATCTGTAAACACATTGTAAGATAGCCTGAGATACAACATTCAAAGATGTCTATTCAACTATTCCTTCTCTCTCTTGACACTGCTCACACTCAGTAACCTAGCAACTGGAGAACTGGAAACTCATCTCCTGATCAAATCATGTCAACTAATTTGGCCAATCCGGATCATCTATCACACATCTAAGTTCATGGTTGTGCGAGAATACTTTTTTTTTTTCACTCAAAAATAAAAAGTACTGACAGACGGACAACATCAAGAAAAGCAAGCAGACCATCTATTGGTGGTTTGACATTTATTAAAACTGAGCCAGCTTATGAAGCACACCTCAAACGAAACATCTTTTATCTGAAAAGGTCAATCAGTTGATTTAGTATCGTAGATATCCATTAAACACTACACAATTACCACATGTAAACTACAAGTCTCTCGTCCTCTACCAAATATTACATTTGGGAATACATCAAAATACCAGAACCTGGTTGGTTAATCATGTTCATGTTTTAATGATGAATAGTGTAATTTGATTCAACTTATAGAACTAATATATCACTCCATTAAAATACTACACTTCCGGTGGTTGGTTAATTAAGTTAATGTTTTAAAAATGAATATTGTAATTTTATTATTATTACTTAATAATAATATTTATTATCATGAAATAAAATTTTTATTAATACCCCCGGAATACCTTAATAATTGTAAATTATTGCTTATTTCATAGTAAGCTGGAAAAAAGTAAAGACGTACTGTAAAATTTGTATTTAGAAGACACGACTTCTATTGAAATGGTAAAATGCAACAGAAGGGGTGCAGCTTCTATTAAAGCATCTACAACACATATGAGAAATGGTAAATTTCGGGGTCTCAATTGTTCAAAAAGAATAGGTGAGACCTCCATTAAGGATGCGGCTTCTAATACAGATGTTACAGTACAATGTATAAATTACCCGGTAATACATGTATTCGTGATGATTACAAGGATGATTCTGACTTTTTTTTGTGCAAAATTAAACATTAAAAACATAGCAAAACTATCAATGTCTTGTTTCTCTATTTTTCAGTGCTATTTCACATTTATAACACTTTTTTATTTATATTTTCTTTGATAATTTTGAACCAAATGGACATAATTTGCCATTAGGTTTAACATTTCTGACAAAATATGGAAAAAAATTGCATTGGTTTAAAGCTAAGACTCAAAGGTTGAACATTGATTTTAGGGTGAAGATTTGAGAAAGATTATTTTTGGTGACTACAGATACAAATCACCAAGTCAATCACAAAGCCACCCAATACACTTTGGATTTTGTTCATAAATTATTATTCATAAGTTATTTAAGTTTGTTTTTTGAGTCAAAAAGTGGCATTTTTGGTCAGAAATGGCTGAAAATGTGTGTTGTGTCATAACTCTGAACACTTTGATTAATTTCACAAAATTTACAACAGAGATATATCACTAAACCGTACAGATGCACCTCAGTTTTTGGATCTGTGCATGTTAAGTGTGCTAATACACCAGAGAATGCATTTACTGATAATTGGCATGGCAACAACAAAGCGGTAGACACATCCCGCTGGTACATCACAAGAATGTAATTACTTTGACAATGTTATTCACTGTTCCGTACAAGCCACTTAAAATTAATAGATATGGACGACTCAGTTGGGATGAGAAATGGGAAGAGAATTGCGACGCCCAATCTGCGATTCCGTAACAGCGATTCAAATAGCAGCGGGACAAACTACTTGCATTAAGGTTTTACAGAAGATGGAATAGGTCCGTAGAGAAGACTTATTACGTAGTAAGAAAAAATTCCCAAATGGAATAGTTCGCTGCGAAAGATCACTTATTTAACCCCAAAAACTAAGAATTAAATCAAGCCGAGGGAAAAATAAAATTCCCACAAATGGCTTGCAGGTACGTCAAAGTGTTTTACATATGGTTAAGCGACCTCGTAATTTGGATAGAGAACGACACACATTGGCAAGCTGCTGATTCGCTCTAAGATAGATCTGAAGGAAATAATAACCAAATTTAAGCAGGAAAACACTACCAGGTAATAAAGAACGATCATATTAACATTGTACACAATTTAGTTGATGCATGTAGAACTTAACAAATGACTTTAAAATAAAAATCAGTAATACAAATGGCTTGTACTCACATCAATTAAATAACTTAATTAACAATTTAAAATCAAGAGATTTATGAAATCCATTCTCTTACAAAAATATGCGAGTATCATGATAAATGACGACATATTCACGTAGTCGGGTAATTTGTAACAGGCATCTATCACCAATTTCATCGTTAAGTAAAGGAGTTTCGCTTTTAAAAAGTAGACACTTATAAAATATAGAGGAGGTACGCTACTCCAAATTACAAATAATGCCCTTTTTTACGAGAGAGTAATCCATGCTACTTGAATACGGATAGTGAAACGAAAATACAGTCACTGTGTTGTTATGTATAATACTGAGTATTAAAATGGGATTTACAAGAATTTGAAAAAAAAAATCAAATATTGTCAGTATGATTACTTTTTGGGGTGTATATATGTAGAAAAATTCTGTCTAAACTGAACCCTACATAATAAAACAGGAAATATTGATAATGTTTAAACAAGAAAACCTACCAAAACTGAACACTGTGTAAACTAGAAACCTACCAAAACTGAACACTGTGTAAACTAGAAACCTACCAAAACTGAACACTGTGTAAACTAGAAACCTACCAAAACTGAATACTGTGTAAAATAGAAACCTACCAAAACTGAACACTATGTAAACTAGAAACCTACCAACACTATGCAAACTGAAAACCTACCAAAACTGAACACTGTGTAAACTAGAAACCTACCAACACTATGCAAACTGAAAACCTACCAAAACTGAACACTGTGTAAACTAGAAACCTACCAACACTATGCAAACTGAAAACCTGTCTAAACTGAACACTGTGTAAACTAGAAACCAACCAACACTATGCAAACTGAAAACCTACCAAAACTGAACACAATTGCCAAGCACCTTCAACACTAATTGCCTGTCTGAAAAAAACCTAAAAAAAAACTCTTCAGTTCATTTTGCTCTCCATTATTAGGTTATTCTTTGCATGAGGTAAAATAATCTTATTAAAAAGGATATCCGTTGCAGACGTTTACAGTAACAAAAACTGACAACTACTGACAAACTGACTCATTTTTAATGAGTTTTTAATGATAAAATGTTATATGATGGAAAACTGTCACTCAATTTGTCAAATATACTTCTCAGTGTGTTTTTTTCCTGGAGAAGCAAAATAACAGCAAGTCCTGCAACATTGCAATGATGTTATATCAAGATTGAAAAGATGATTGGTGGGAAAATTAAGTATCGCATGTTATCACAGTGGTAGTTTAACAACCTGGAGATATACAAGCTGCGGTACTCCCATGATGCAATTCACTCAGTTGTGCAACAAATTTAATGTTGACGTCACTTATACTGCCATGTGACCAAATTGTTCACACATAAAGTAAAATGCACCATGGGAGTACCACAATGCATCATGGGAGCACTATAATTCACACAGGGCCTCATTAATAAAGTATCTTCACGATAGCAGGTGATATAAATAAATTTCCCATCAATTACATTATCAACTGCAACACATGTGAGCTATTACATCATTAAAGTGTTGCGCAACCTCTCCTTTTTCAAAAAAAAATTCTCACAATCAAATAAGACTCAGAAATGATAAAACTGAATGTCTGTGTATCCTTGTGGGCTGATTATTAAACTCAACAAGTTTTGATTTTGTTGTTTTTGTGTTTCCAAGCTTGGGCATAAATATTCATATGTATAAAATAGCCTTAATTTTGTATATATATCCACTGAAAGAAATTAAAGCAAATATAAGTTCATGTTTTCCTGTCCTGTTGTGTGTTAACATCAATGAAAATAGTTAGAAATCTAATCAACACTAAACAAGCCGAATGTCACAATAAACAAACCTATGATAACCTAATAAATAGTGATAGAGTATAGTTTTCAAAAAAAGCTAACAAGCCATGTACCTTTATCCAAATTCTGTTAGACAGCCCTAACAGGCATCCATGTGTAGCATAAATTATTGCAGCACTAACACTGATAGTATTATCTAACATCAACATCCTACCAAATGAAATGCTTCAATTGCTTAAAAATACAGAAATATTTTTTCGAGGTGGAAGAAGTGGTTGCGAAACATTAGCTTGCTGAACATAAATTTACCAAACTAAATTTCATGGAGGTTCACCAATTGAACATATTTACAAGTAAAAAGGCAATAATAGAGTAAAAGGTTTTATGGATAAGTTGACATGGGACGACGACAACAAGGAACAATCACTAATCAACTAAAAAAATCATATTTTTGTTTGCTGTTCGTGCTGAAGTATAAATTATGAAACAAACAAGACACAATATTAGGAGAACTTTTAACCTTTTCACCACCAGACTTTCTCCGCCCAAATTTTGCACTTTTTCTCATATTCTTCAATATTTCTGGAAATGAGTCCTAATTTTGGAGCCAACAGACAAAATCTCAGTCAATTTTCAGTTTTTACCCAAAAAATGTTTTTGCCTCAATCTTCTGGAGGAAAACGCATACCGGTACTATTAAAGGGACTATTTTGTGATGTAAAAAGGGAACTGAGGGGGGGGGGGGACTAGACTAACTATTGTTATAGTTCACCAGAAAGTAGAAATTAATCTCGCTATTAAAGAAAATACTTACTTTATCTAAATGCGAAATTTCTTGCTGTAGTTCAGTGTTTTTTCGAGTTAGAACAGTGTTCTGTTGTATAGCATTCTGTAACTCGGTAGCCTGCAACAAAACAAAGAAACACAGACATCAGACGTTACTGCTTCAAGCAAATCAGCAAAATGAGTTTAAAATGTCACTCGAGATTTCCACGACAGGTAATCAGGTCCATGAATGCAACTCCACCCTACGGGTATACAAAGAGGACGACAGCACTGGCATCAGCGATAAATTCACCCCTGATTAATGACTCAACATTAAACAGTAAAACAAAGACGCATGTCATACACACCAACTTCAAGATGGGCACATGCAGCTACCACCGATCTTAAATGTCAGTCTATCGACTATTTACCATCAAATGGTAATGTGAATCTAGCAATAACGATAAAAGTATAATAACTCATTTATATCTGTAGCTATTTTAATCTCAACCATCTACTACATAATTTATTATTTAATTCCACGATGTCGACGAAGCTTAACGGGTAATTGGCTGAACTACTTCTGTGTTTTCGTGAACAACTTAACAAAATTAACTTTTTTTTTTGATTATTAGGTTTTGAAAAAAAAAAAATTGGCTGACCTAATTGTTTTCATGGAAACAGGAATTTTAGTTGCATTGTATATCGACACTAGAATTTGCCTCCAAACATATGACAATTTTTTGATCTATTAATGATATTTTAATTAAAAATTCATTTCCTACCGGAAACAATAAAGTAATATGATTTGTTTATAGATCGCATACTAAATCTAGAATTTCACACAGCATATATTGCGTTAATTATAGCAATATTGCATTCTGGTCAACCCACACGTCCATTAACAGCAACCTTTTATAACTCACTCGCAATAATAAATCAATCAAGATTTGAGCACTTAAAATATTTACTATCGATAACCCATCAAATCATCAGTAAGAACTGATCTCAGTTAGTTTCATTATTGATGCTGAAGCTGACTTGAATACACATTTATGTGGGTAATACAAGATACGATCTCTAAACAATATAGTATAATTAATTTTCATTATTTTACATAACCAATCCCAATCCCAGTCTAATTTTCTTCCCAAAAATTGCTAAAAACTTTTCACAAATTCAACATTGAAATTTTAATAAACTATATTGACAAAAAACAATACTGCTTACAGACTTTAGTCATAATTCATACTCAACATTTGAATTCATACTCAACATTAGAATTATACTCAACATTTGAAGTCATACTCAACATTTGAAGTCATACTCAACATTTGAAGTCATACTCAACATTTGAATTTATACTCAACATTTGAATTTATACTTATAACATTTGAAGTCATACTCAACATTAGAATTATACTCAACATTTGAGGTCATACTCAACATTTGAATTTATACTCAACATTTGAATTTATACTCAACATTTGAATTTATACTTATAACATTTGAAGTCATACTCAACATTAGAATTATACTCAACATTTGAAGTCATACTCAACATTTGAATTTATACTCAACATTTGAATTTATACTTATAACATTTGAATTTATACTCAACATTTGAATTTATACTTATAACATTTGAAGTCATACTCAACATTAGAATTATACTCAACATTTGAAGTCATACTCAACATTTGAATTTATACTCAACATTTGAATTTATACTTATAACATTTGAAGTCATACTCAACATTTGAAGTCATACTTATAATATTAGAATTTTACTCAACATTTGAAGTCATACTCAACATTTGAATTTATACTCAACATTCAAATTTATACTCAACATTGAATATATTTAATAATTGAATTTTGTTCAAAGATTTAAAAATAAATATTGAAAAATTGAAATTACAATCAATATATTTTACGCAATATGAAGCAGAGAGTGGATATCGAAAGTTGAAAACATTGGATAAACAGGGATGATAAAATATATCCTACAACTGTATATATATATGGCTTATTTGCTAGCTTATATTCTGACTGCCCATACATGCCAATATTCAAATTTAAAGCGAGGGAGTCGCATGCGTCAGGTGGCCATAGCATGTCATTGTTTACAAACAAGCATCAACCAATGAGCCTTTGTGTTTTTTAGCGTGTGTTGTTATCGTCGCTTGGGACTCAATTCCCGTGCGTGCGCAGGTGACGACCCTCTCGCATTAAACATCAGAAAGAATTGTCGCCTCAACAAACCAGTGAATTTAACGTCAAACCTAATGAAAATTAACTTGAACTTAATATGATACAAAATTGAATCAATCAGTCATTTTTGATAAATTACACACAAAAAACACAACATTGGCAAATATAAAAAATAAAAACAACTCTGCAGTACTTACAAATTCAGAACACTGCTGCTGTCTTCTCTCAGACTCTGCTTGTAAATTGTTACATTCTATCCTCTTGGACGCAAGGTCTACTTCCTGTAAGACAGGAAACAGAAAATGATAACTCGTTAATTACCAATTAAATACAGAATTATAGAACCGTGAAATTAATTGTACTTGGTCATTCATTCTGTGTTAATAATTGGGGGAATTAACATAATGAATTCTATAAACAATACGAGAATAAACTCATTTATTTTATTATTAATCTAATTTATTGAGTACCGGTATATTGGTGAATGCTACAAACTCAGAATCATAAAAAAGTGGGTTTTTTTACAGTGCAATTAAAATGTATGTACGTGTAGCAATGAACGTGTCGTAATAAATTACAAATGGGTCCACTGACAGATCATGATATATACAAGGTGTTCATTTATTTGTTATGAATTATGGACGTTGAGGTATACTCGGAATAATCCTGATGATTTACTCGGTCCCTGCGGAGAAATATCCTGACGTACAAATAATGAGAATTGCCAACTATATGTAGGAGGATGTCCACCAAATCTAATGTCATGTCTAATTTAATACGAACTAAAGCGGAGAAATTTGTTCCTCATGTTATCTACTAATCCCATGACTCCCTTGTGTATCAAAGTCAAATGGAACAATCACAGAACAGTAATCCAACCAGTGTCTTTATATGTAAATTATTACAAACCAGTATATGATTTCAACAACATTGATCGATTTCATTAAAGGCACAAATTTAAGATCGTCAAACAATTTTTTTTTATCAAATTAGAGCTTCACAAATGTCACCGATTTTACCAATTCTAATGCAAAATGGCGACTGTAAAGCTACAAGGGTATGATAATATAGAAATGAAATTTTCATGATACAATGTAACAAGTTTGTTGATATATTATTTTTTTGATCATTTTCAAATAAAAACAAAAAGTACAAGATTAATAAGAAAAGCTATAAATAGTCAATTTTCTCAAAAAGATAGTTTCATGAATATTTGAGGATGCGACATCTTTTAGATCTAATCAGCATGTACATTATACAACATTTGGTTGCGCAAGAGAGCGCCACATCTTACGATGGTCAATATTTGCTATGCATGTACTGTTGTGATGAGATAATACAAGATTTATCCTGGTAACAAAAACATCTTCAATGTCTTGTTTTCTCCAGCTAGATCATAATCTGCGACGTGTACGTACACGCTACTGCACCGATTATACCACATGAATCAATGATAATATCGATTGCTTTCCTCTGGCAAGGTGTTTTGCGCACTAAATTCATGGTGAATGTGACTTATATCACTAGTCGTGATAGTCAACCAGGGACTGATAGTTATCCAACCCGAAGGAAGCTTACGTAAGCTCATCGTCGATTGCAATAGAGGACAACCAATTAGCAATCATGAACATGCTGGAATAAATGTCGTTAATGATCGTATGTTTGACTTTTTACTGTACATCGTAAACGAAGCACGTCCTTATTTGTCTGTAAACGTCGGGAAAATTAAACGCACATTGATTGTTACAAAGTCAGAGTGTTATTTAAATTACATAATGTTACCTTGATTGGGGCAAGCAGAATGTAATCAAACAGACACAGCAGAAATAATTCAGACTAATCAGTGCAATAACTTCCGACCACATATAAGAATGACCGTGAAATATTACGGCAATCAACAGCAATCCTATTTAGAAATTCTACTGATATCGACAAACGGCAATCATGTTTTTTTTCATTATTATTCGGATTGCACTTGTTTTCAGACCACACACAAGGAAATATCTTGTACAATATATAGCATATGAGACTACGGAATATAATCTAAAGTTCTACCATTCAATTTAAAAAGATTTACTTTGAATTATTATTTTTAATTTCATTTTTGGTCATGAAAATAAAATTCGGGTTTCTGGCAATTTTCCATGTCAATCAAATAAATGTGCACGTTATATATTAAGGTTAATAAAAAAAGATGATTTGGAAATTATAATAAATCCAGAGAATCCTTAACCCATTCAGTAAAAATGTAAACCTCAATATTTCCACAAGATGTAACCCTTGGGTGACCCTAACCAATAATTTTAATTAGATTGATGCAATAAATACCTACACGTGTCGTTGACCTTTAGAAAGGTCATTATAAGTGGGCATTATTCAAGAGTTTGATTTGATTTACACAATAATGACTTTATAAGGGCAGCTTTAAAAAAAAAAAAAAAAAAAAAAAAAAAAAAAAATTCGTTTGATGTATGTGTGCGGTAACATAGCGTGCTAGTCTCAGCTGTAATTCAGCATTAGCAGTTAGAAAATAGATATACAGTATCTCTAGAAGCGTAAATAAACCCCAAATTTGGAATCATTGCAAGCTTATTTAGTCTATACATATGTAATCAATAGTTATAAATCTAATAAGGTAGTTTAATACCAAGAAGTGATTTCTTATGTCGAAATAACTACAGACTGCCTGTTTGAATCACAAAAAATTTCGAAATATTTTGAAAAATAGATGCTAATTTGCATAAATTGCTAATTGTTTTTGGTTACGTACTTTATTAAATCTTTGAACAACAAAGAATGACTTTTGAAAAAAAAACTCGTATTTTTTTTTCTGTATTGACAATCATTTTTATCAGGACTTGTAGGCATTGAAAAAGTAGGTACTGTATATTTGGTTCGAAATCAAGAATATTAAAAATTACAAAATGTTGACAGAAAAGTACATATTTGTCGTTGAAAAGATTTTGTCGACAAGTTTCAGAAATAGGGCATCTGAATGGTGACCCCTTTATCACAATTACAAGAAGACGAGAATAGACGTCGATCACCATGAACCTCATTTCGTCCATAAAATCACTCCCGTTACTATCACCATGGCAACGCTCGAAGATGATATGTATCAATAAAACAGTTGCCTGTAGTTTTCTCCATGGGAGAGCAACAACCCCACCGTTTTTTTTAACAAAGAAGGATATGATGAGATACCTATACATGTTGAAATAAAGACCTCCTACAGAGCAGAGAAACTAAGAAATATTACTAGAAAAGACTGTAGGTTGTTGAGAAAGGAAATATGTTGTAAAATGATAATTAATTAGTATATTTTAATGGTATAGAAGCTGACATTGCTACTGGTACTGAAAAGCAATACAGAAAACAAAAAATGAGCTTTTAGAAGATAAATAACTTGGTGGGTAACATCTTTGGTAGCCAAGGTTCAACCACCGTCACATGACTATACCTTGGCAAATTCAATTCAGCCAACATTGGCAATACTAAAGATATATTCTTCAATGCATTGTCCAACCAAATTGCTCATTATCGCTAAATCACAGACAAAATACATGTAGATGTCTAGTATAGTAGAAGATTTGAGAGTCTGAGATTGAGTTGACATTACAGAATTGGTTAGTTGATGTCTGAAAATCGAAACAGTCAGATCAGTTCACTCTAATAAATGTTTTCCCTATTATGCACATACTACTCACAGTTGTGAAACACAGCCTCCATACATGGTAATATTCAGGTACATGATGCAAGTTGTTCTGTTCATAGTAATATGAACCACAGTCCCTCTATAGTCAATGGAGGAACTGTGCATAAACATAGATTTTCAACCATCATATGTTTATAACAGGTCTCTGCAGTATAAACTGATAAGATTTGAATGGAACAAAAACTGAGCTTAGTTTAGTGAGGTGTCTGTATCAAATAGGCACTGTTACATACATTGTAGTTCAACCAGCTATGGTTTTTTTGTTACTTTTCCACTACTGGGCCACATACGAAAGACAAACCGGGCAGAGAAAACAGTGGAAAAACTGCACATGCGTCAGATGGCCATTGTTCACAAACAAGCGTTTAAGACTTTCACATACACTACGCTAACTTTGTTCAGATGAATCTTTTAGAGGCGCATCCAATCAGATCTATGAGTTCTACCAAGGTCAAATACGCAGCCTCTCGGAAGGATAGATTTGATTTACTGAATGAATCATTAATTCCTCAGATCAATGGAAAAAAGAACAGTGAACTGGGAAACCCCATCTTACCCTGTCACAGGGCTGACATGAGAAATGACAAGCTGGTCATCAATGGAGATCCACCACTATTTTGACACAAGCATATGGAACAAACACACACATACACTGTAATCGTTCCCATCCGATAGGAAGCAATGAGTCATCAAAACTAAATGTTTGGTGGTTTAATTGTACAGCATGTACTCTATTTAATTAAACTCCTAAAAGTTAAGTCAGGTGAACACACAAATCGTCGTACAACACTCAGGTAAGCACACTATATCAATGTGTCTGACATTCACAGAGGCCATGAATTAATTGCATTAGATGCTCTCACCTGACAGCCTTGGGGACTTTCAGAGCAGATGTGTATATCTTGCATAGTTTTAATTAGTAGAAAGTTATGGTGTGCCGTGAGATTAAAAATAACTGCAGAATACCCAACAAATCCTGTCAAGAATGTTCACTAATGGAAACAATTAATTAAAAAACGATGCCACATATTCTTCCTTTATTCCAATAATTTTATTTTTATTAAAAGACTATTTAATATGATAATAACAATTTTAGGATTTTTATAAGCTTTCAGAAAATATATATCATGTTAGGGTGTAATCTTTGTTGGATATAAGTTGTAAGGGGTTTCCCTATTTAATTCTACAGGGGCTTGAGAAATTTGTGTCATGGCAAATATTTTATTTATTTATGCCAGACAAATAATTTTGTATTCACATTTTTTCCCCCCGTTTTATTTACATTAAACATTGTTGGGTCTTCATGAATATTTTAATTTTGTTTATTTTCACATACACATATTTTCAGATGACTAATCCCTAAAATGTTAAAATTTTGATTCCTGGTGAGTGTCATACACAGAGGGCTTTGATTTGGCTGATATTTGTATTTGCTCTAGTACAAGCACATCTTGGAAGATACCATTCAAGGACTGAGCTATTCACAGGGGTGTACCTGAAATACAGCGAGTGAAATTTAAGACTTTCAGAAGAAAATCCCTTGTGGTTTAATGAACAAGTCCAGGCCAAGCGAATTATAATGAATTTTCATTTTAGCTGTTTTCAGTAGTATAAAAACCTCATTTTGATAGTACGTATACTAACCCTTTGAGCACCGTGATTTTTCAAGACAGAATTTTGGTACAACAATTTTTCTGCATTTTTCTAAAATGTTTTTGATAATTTTGAACCAAATGGACGTAATTTTCTATCGGCTACAAGTCTTGATAAAAAAAAATTCAGAAAAATTACGAAAAATCGTAAGGATTTTATATTTGTGAATGGCGAAAAAAAGCTAACTCAAAAGGTTAAAGGTTAAAGGGAAAGTCAAGCCAAACAACATAATGACCCCTCAAGAAAAAGCTCCACAAATGTAGGAGAATGCAATTTACAGTTTTTTTATATCACTTTTCAGTCTCTAGATATTCAAGTTTCCATCAGTATTATGTAGTCAGCCATCTTGATTCTCAAGCAAAGGATTATGGGTAAAATACGACATAGAATATGTTGTCAGAAATTGCGAAAATGATTTTATCTATAAACATTTCCAATACTAATAAATGTAGTACACCAGTACTGCTTGATGCTGACAACAAAAGACAGCGTGTACTACAGATACTTTTGATAAAGTAGTCATCACTGTCACTTCCAACAATATATATCTACATATCACGATTCTTATAATAAATAATAAAACCACTTACTAGTTTTTCTTTTTCTTCTTTATCTAATTTTAAATTCCTGAGTTGCTCTTGAAGTACTTGATTAGTCTCTTCCAACGCCCGGTATTCCTGAAGTGTAACCGAGTTCAAATCGGCCGAGCGCCTATCCTGGAAAACATGAAATTACAAAACTATTAATTGACAGAATCCTCAGAAAAAGCCAAGTCATTTGTTTTTTTATTCCAAAGATGACTGCATCATTCATTTTCATTTAGCGAGGATTGTAATCGTCAAGATGAAATGCATAGATGAAATAACGAAAAGACATGATAATTGAAGCAGCATTTTCACATTTTTGATAACTTCTAGATTCAACAGATGAAGGTACAAAAACAGTTTTCTGGATGATAAAATTTGATTTTCTGGTGTAAAATTATGATATTTTCACAGGATTTCCTAATCAAGAAATCAACTTTATTAGACTCCAATAGAATTCCTGATGAATATCAAGTATTGGATTTCAAAGAACTTTCACAGAATTTCACAAAAACTGCAGAATATGAAGGAAAAACTACCAATAACTGTCAAGCTCAAAGTAAATATCAAATTTTCATGAAAGCTGAGTAAAACGACATAAAACATCTGTACAATTTTATGGCTGATAATATAAAATGTTATGGTGTGACCACAACAATCCCAAGGGAACCAACGCAGTGTATCCAAGAATTGTTGAAATTCACGATTTTTTTATTTATTAAGTCGAAAAATGTTGTCAAAAAAAATTATGACACCCAAAGATGCTGAAAACTTAATCACAACAGAATCTACATATATAAATTCTCAGCAATGTTTGGCACTTTATAAACAACTTCAGATTAATACATTTTGCTAATACGGCTAATACCGTACTGTAACTTTTGCATTTGATACATGTTCATATATACTACATCACTTCAAAATTTGTATTAATCTAACTCTTCACAAATTAATATTTTTGAATAAGTACATAATTATGGGTTTACATCAAATTTTACTAGTTCTCATAAAGCTACTATTTTTATTGGATCTGAATTTTATAGTAATTATTTTATTTTATGCAAATACAGTTAAACATGAAATAATAGGTAAAAAGTGTTGAATCATGATGAAACTCAAAGATGTGTTTTGGGATATTTTTTTACCTTTTTTTCAATCAAGATTGAATATATTAGTGTTGTCTAAATCTACTGTCAAAACTAACAAAATTTCTATTAATAATTTATCAAATTTCAAAAATGCTATCGCATTCTGCTAATTGAATTCACTTGGCACAAAATTTGCATTATGAGTCGTCTGGAAAAATAATTAGGAATCATTAGATTACGAAATTGCTGCTGTTGTAAAACAAAAGTAACGAGAGAGTCTTTCATGCGTGACACTAAAAAAAAGTTTCACGTCTACGTTACCGCATTTACTCTATCGGAAGCGTATGTAAAACATCAATTGCATTAATTGTATTCCAGCTTCTTCAAATATTACTTATTTTAACCATAGACATGATTATATTATTTACATAAGCGCATGTGCTACCAATAGTCCAAATACGGTATGTGTGATTGTTTTAAAGAGTGTAATTCATAATCATCTGAGAGAAACATCCTGAAGTCGGGAAAATGATCTATATTCAAGTTATCTATATCAGGTGATTGATTCAGACTGATGCATACAATTCCAGAAAATTGTTGACTGATTCTCACTGGCTAGCTGACAGGAAAACCTACTAGTCTGGCCAATCAGCTTGCAACTTTTTAATAACATCTGCAAATACAGGAATCATATTATGGTATCCATGATACATGTACCCCTTCAACCTTGTGACCTTTAACCCTTTGATCGCCAAAGTCAATTACATGTATTGTCATCTATTACAAATCAAAAAACATACACAATTTTTTCTATTTTTTTTTTTTATTTCGTTGAAGACCTGAAGCCAATGAAAAATTCTGTTCATGTTGGTCCAAAATTAATGGAAAAAAATGCATAAAAATTAATACAAATTTGGAGGGAAAATTATGATGTTCAAAAGTGGTAAATCCTTTGGTTGCCAAATTCACTTTTTCTGTCACTTTTCACAAACTAGAGCAGCACAATATTTTGTCAAATAGTTTAAAATTCACAAAGCAATTATAGAAAAATGACATAAAATGTGCAAAATGCTGCACTCAAAATCATTATGTCGATTTGTTATTGTTAAATAATTCATTTTGAAACATTTTCAAGAAATATCACTCAAAATCGTCAAGTTCTTAGAAGAAAAATATCAAAGAGTTCAAAGTTCACCAGATGTGGAATGAAGCAGTACAGGTAAGTACATTCTTGTGATACCCAAACCTATCATCAATTTTAAAATTTGCATATCAGTAGTAATTGGATAAGTAGGAGAGATAAGTTACGCTACCTGCTTAGTATCGGCTTTCCTGACAAAGCCCGGAATATAAAACATGACTTTAGTTACATAATGGTCGAGACAGACAAAGAACCCATCAGTATCGGTTTACATAACACTCAATCATTACTCAAGTCACAAACAATGAGTCATTTTCCATACATCTATGGATACCGCCGATTTTTTTTCTCCCCAGCAACAAAAAAGAAACATCAAATTTGATGTGAAAACTATAAGAAGTCTGTTTCATCAAAGCACAAAACGTAACATGCCCATACAACGTAGACAAATTGTGCAGGTGAAATCCATTTGCGTGTTACGACGGGAATCCACGACTACAAGAATTGTCGAGCATAACAGGGAACGCATCTGATGAGTGATGTGCAGAATGCAAGTTTTCAAACCAACGTGTCTTGGGTGTTAACTGCTGGAATGCAAATAGAAATCAAAGGGGGCCACAGTGTGACCAATCAAAGGGTGATATCGCACCACGAACCCATGTTAACCAAGTGTAAAGAAAGGAGAGTCAAACTCCTATCAATAATAAACTAATACCACTATCTTAGTAATAAAATAAAATAGGATCTTAATAATATTCAAAACCATTTATGATGAAAAAACCTTAAAATAAGAACTTATGATCATGATTCCTTTGGGATAATCGAACAAAATAAATTTCATGAGTGTTGTGACAGCTTTAAGATTACTGAAATATATTATAGGATAAATAATAAATCCATATAAGCCATATATCCTTAATTTATAAACATGATTATACTGCTCTGTTAGTCAAGGAACACTCGCGAACTCAGACATAGATGAGAAAAACTATTTAAAAATTACAATATTTTGTTTTTGTCCAGGTAATTTTCTTGAGTGTTTTTTTTGTATTATGTAAGCAGTGGGCATCATGACCTAGTGCATTCGAATTTCACAACATACAAGCTAGACGTAGTATGGGACTGGTTATAACATAATATGGCCATGTTTGTCATAATGTAAACGTATCTTTAGCGTATACACTTTAGAATCCAATGAAAAAATTATGCCTTTAAAACGTTTCCCATAAAAAAAACATGCTGACCACAGAGCGTTTTATTGCCACAAGGCACAACTCATTTTATCTTCCAAGAATTGTGTTTTTCTGTACTTTTCACCAAAATACAAAATATGCTGACTACAGTAAAAAAAAAAATTATTTTGCACCAAAATACACAAAAATATGCAAACTGAACTATGTTGGTTGTTTAAATAGTTAATTCTATAACGAAATAATCTTGAGTTAAATTCACACACCAAAAGGTAATATAAAAAAACAAGGCCTAGACCATAAAACAAAATCAAATTTCATTAATTTAATAAAAGGAAAACGAGTTATAGCTTGACAAGCAAACAGGGTCTGCGATAATGAATATTGAATTAAAATACAACACAACAGCAGTTCGGACTCCCATCGGCCATTTGTTACTGATGATAACGATTTTCAAGATTTACATACCTTTTTTTAAATCACTCTCAGCGCAGACTGAAATGATTACATTAAAATAATGACAAAAATATCTCTTTCATGCAGCAGATTTTTTTTTATTTATATAATCCATTCGGCAATACATATAAACAGACATGGTTTCTGACAGCTTGACTATATTTACCATGCTGTGAACGTCAGCAAAATACCAATCACTTAACACTTTTATGCTGCTTTCAAAGGCGAGTGCGTCAAAATACTCACGTGGGTCCATTCCCTGCAGGGTATAGCATTGGTTACAAAGTAAATTCACCTAACAAAGTAATTCAGATTTAATAACTGCTATTTTCAATGTACCATTTAACCCGTTGAATGCTATTATTTTTCCCCCGACTAAATTTTGGGGAGACATTTTGTACCTTTAAGGTATTTTTCTATATTTTAATTGTTAATTTTGGACCAAACAATTATAATTTGTCATTGGTTGTAAATCAAAATCTTGGAAAAAAAATTATGCAAGTTTATTCTATAAATATTGACGAAAGTCGACTGTGTTGTTTAAAAGGTTAACCACTGTTTATTACAAAAAAAATTCTCAATAATACGTTTTTAGTACCCGGTATATTTTTATCACATTCTGGTTGTTTCTTTGAAGGAAAAAACCTTGACACATTTTGGGGTGCTACAACACCTTCTGAGTTTGGTATAACTACATGTGGGGCACTATCATATGACAATAAGGCTACCATACCGTAATTCTTGTCAATGTTGACAAATTATGACTACCCGGTAGATCTGATTTTTGATCCATGTCAGCAATCTATAAAATCTTTTTTCAGATGAAAACAAGTCTGTCTTGCGGCAGTTACATCACAGACACGTGTATACCCTTTAGATAGTAGCAGATAATCGGTAAGGGATTTACTGGAATTACGTCAATCAGGTGTTTCAATAGCCATATATTCCTGTTAGCAGTAAAAAACTACGTCATAGGAATAAATGCAAAGTCTTAACTCTTTTTCAGAATGGAACAAAACTGTTTCTGATGTTAAACAAGCAATTAATTGTGCAAGCTAGCAAAATCAACTTCAGTGCCCAGTCACTAATCATTTTCTAATTCAGTAGAATAAAAGCCGCAGCAAATCAGCTGACATGATGCAAATCAGCCACATGATCCAAATAAGTCGACATGATTCAAATCAGCCGACGTGATCCAAATCAGCCGAGTGATTCAAATCAGCCGAGTGATCCAAATCAGCCAACATGATCCAAATC